GAGCAGTTTAGATCTTCCAAGCTGCTGTTACAGATGATACCCATGTGGGACTGCTTTGCTTGGCTTGGAGGCCTTTCCTACATCCCAGAATTAAAAATGCTGTCTTAGGGTATCACTTTTGCATTGTACTACTGCTCAGCTCCCTTACTTTTACCTACAGTCTGACAGCCTAATTTAAAACTTTATATGACCTTAACATTGTTTGAAGGAGTTATTAATCCATGGGGCTACAAGAAATGATGCTGCTGTTTCAACAAGCTAGTCCTTCACAAAAACACTGCTCAGAAAAACATTCTGTTCTCTGTAGTAGGCTACGAACAAATGGAGGAAGCTCCTTGGCAGCTGTAGATACCTTCTGTCTTTAACAGACAAAAATAGGCTTGGCTCTTCTTAATCTTTGGCCTGAATTCTTGTGTGCTTTTGTGAAGACTTTGACTGTGTACTGAGATCTGGACAGTGGGCCCAGAAAGCATCTGGAAACGTAGATGGGGAAAGAACAGCAGTATGTAGAGGATGAGGTAAGAGTTCAGGTGCATAAATTAAGTTGTATTTTTTTATATTGTTACCATTCCTTTAACCCAATCTAAAGGGAAAAGAGAGGACCCAAATGTGCCCAAATTAGGAAAGGTTTGCATAGAGCTTTTTAGGGTCATCTGCAAGACAAACTCGGGACCACTGGAACTCCTGTATTAGCAGCTTGCTGGAGATCATTGGAGTCGAGCTGGCTGGTGAGAAGTCTTCCCATGCTGTCTCTGAAGGGCCAGGGAAGGTTTTCAGAACACAGCTCATGTGGTTTTCTCAGTCATTAGTATCTATGCTGTTAGGGGTCTATATTGCTGTATTTCGCTGCTAGTGTAATGACCAATCTAGGGCAAACATCTCTGATACTTCTGCCGTCATGATGCCTTTTTACTGCCTCAGCATTAACAGATCAGAATAATCTGTTTTCCTTCCTCTCATAAAACAGCATTGCAAAAGATGGGAGAGTTGAACCCAAAGACCAGAGGGCCAAGGACTTTTCAACCTAGTGGTTTCAAGGCTTGCCAGTTTTCTATTGACACAAAACCAGTGGTGTTTTAGATGCTTGTGTTCTGTTCTAATGCTCCTTTCAAAAACTATCTTTGAGAGTGAAATAATGATTGGGTAGGTTTCATTCAACCGAGAAAACCTGCATGGAAAGAATATATTCTGAAGAACTTTTTTTTTTTTTTTTAAATCAGTATATTGTTCAGAGTATCGTGGGCTTAGTATTTAGAGCTCTAAGGTTTAAGTTATTTGTAATGTTCAAGTATTTCTGTAAGTATTTTACAGACATCTGCACAGTGTTTTCATCAGCGATTTCACATAACAGAAAGAAAAGCTGCATGCATTAGGCGTTGCCAGGTGTGTGTGGGTATCTAAATGCGTATATGTATTTGCGTGCATCTGTAATATGCATTCTGTGTGCAGATATTAAACACATCCTCTCTGGGATTACACTGTGCCTTGCATATGTGGAGGCAAACTTTCTGAACAAAGAAGAACCTATCCAGAATAGAGTGGAATTTACTGCAGCTGCTGTGGGCTTTCAAAGCAATGGTTGCAGTCAGAATCTGGCCTAAATAATTAACTTATGAAGGATGGAAAGGAAAAGCACCATGTGGAAGATGTAGTTAATGGGAACATATAACAGTCAGCTCTCACATGATAAATTGGGAGCTAAGTCTGTGGTAACTGCCTTTTATTTGCAAAATACAGTTGAAATTTTTTTAAAGTAATTGCATGTTTTCTTCCATCTCCACATGGTCCCAGAGAACATAGTACAGTACAAATATCAACAGGAACACAATAAAATAATGGTTGTTGGTTTTGTGGTTTGGTTTTGGTTTTTCTTAAGGCTTAGGGCTATGATCTTATTTGAGCCAGTGTCCAGAGGAAAGGAAGAATACATTTTAGCTCAGGAAAAGACAAGTGGTAGAACGTTTTAGTGAGGTTGTAATATGGAATAATCTAAAAGGACAAGGCAGGAACAACCACAATAAATAACAGTAAATGGCTAGATATCTATTTGCAGAAGAGATTTAGTAATACAATTCTCCTGACATAAGTAAATAATGTTTTAAGATAGATGTTCTGAAATCCTTCCATTTTGAAAGCTTGAATTTTCCCAGTCTGAAAGTTTACTGTAGCTTTTTATGACTAGCAACCATGACATCAGTTGTTCTTTAGATATGCCACAGATGCTGGCAGATCTTCAAGCAAATGCATACTACCCCTTGCCTCATGCAAACCTCTGGAAGGCTGCAGGGTGACACAAGGGCTCCCCGCACCCAGCTACTGATTCAGCTGACTCAGCCTGCTGGAAAAACAGTGGGGTTTGCTGCAGTAACCAAACATACAAGCTACTAGACTTCTTAATTGCCATTGCCAGTCTTCTCAATGAAGTAGAGGGAACTGCTCTGCTGCAGCCTGACATATATTATTCCCCTCTGCACACAGATGGGGAGATAGACCACTCACCATTTAAGTGCTTGGTTTATCTATTTGGGTTTTCTTTTGTTTTTAAGCAATCTGTTTGTTGTCACTCCTGGTAGAACAGATTTGGACATCCCTTTTCCTCCCCACTATCACAAGCACAAGGGAGGATCTAGCCTATTTAGTCTGTGAGTGAATGGGGATAGGATCTAGTTGTTAAGTTGTGGAGTGAGTTGTTCTCACAGTAAATCTGGTTAGAAGCTTTACTGCTGTTTAAAATGGAACAGCCTGAAAACCAGGAAATACATTTCTCTGTAAAATATGTAACTAGTGTCTGTATTGCTGACCCCAGGGGATCTTGCATTTGCTGCAGGCTGAGCCTCGCAGGCAGTTTGTTGCTGAACTAAGCCCTTTAAATAGACAGCAAGTCTAAAAAAGTATGTCCTGCAATTTTTGTGCTGATTAATTTAGAATGATGTTCTAGCAAGCTCAGTACACTCCAAAGTAATTAGCAAGAATCCTTTTAACAAGATAATTACTATATCAGCAAGCAGTAAACTCAAAATGAATGTGAGTAGATCTGGTTTGCATCAACAAGGAAGAGATGTGTCACAGTTCTATCAACTGATTCTAAGTTAAGCCTAGTGTGAAAGCGTTTAGGTCAGCAGCAGCTCTCTAGCTTTTTTTACTTGTAGACTTGAATTAAAATCCCAAATGAAGTTGCATTCTACTCTCCATATGTCTACCTCACAATGCCATGGCAAATTATGATTGGCTTTTTTTTTTTATTTCTGCTGGAAAAAGGCCCAAAATAAGAACAGCAGGAGGTGTTGCACATTATTACTAAAGCACACATGTTAGAAAGGGCTATGAAGTATACGAGACTTCCTTCCTTCTTTATGGCTGTTCATTTTCTTCTTTCATAATGGAAGGGTCTGATCCTGCACAGAACAGTAACAGCTCACAAATATAAACACAGGTTCACATGTTTGGGGCTGCAATTTTTAAATAGGCTAATCCTTCAAAGAATAGACACGTCATTGCTCATCAGGCTGTGGATAAATGAGCATGTGACTGCTGCAGTGGTGGTAGAAACACTTTTATTCCCCAGACTGGATTCTGTCCTTAGATAGTGGAGGCTTTAGAAAATAGGGTTTATTTAGGAAATTTTAATAAGGGAAGTTACTTTAATAAGGTCACTTTATGTCTGGTAGATTTTTAATATGTTTTCTTGCACTTTTTTAGAATGGATGCAGAAATTTGTAAAAGCACCTGCCATTTTCTGTGAGAACATAATTTTTAGGCAGATTTTCAAAAACCACTTACCTTACTTTCAGTTTCTATAAGCTAAGCCCAGCAAAGTCAGTGGTCTTACACTGATATAAAGTGTGTTCTGGGCAGAAATTAATTAAACCTTATATTGTTCACACCAACCATCAAAGTAATTACTAGTCATTTCTTAAAAATTGTCTGGTCTGTTGAGTGTCAAGAGCAATCTCTCAAGTTATGCCATGGGACTTTGTGGTACTTTATATGATGTGAAGCACAAGCCTGGATCCTTTTGTCTAGATTATCTTGTGAAACTTGAGCAGTGCCATTTTCTTTCTAGTTAAATGGTATGCCTCAGACCATTTTAAAAAATCATATAAAATTGAGACATTTAAAAAATCTCTCTAAACTGCAAGCACAGTGAAACCAGGGGGGGAAAAAATGTCTTTACAAATATTTTACAGTTTTAGTTTTTTGTGTTCTAACTGGTAGAAATAGACTGGCAAGGACCTCTTTAGAAAATGCCTGTGACAAATACAGTTGTCTTCTAATGATCTGTGGGGCTGCGTTTGTGGGTTTGGTTTTTTTATTATTTATAAGGTTTAGGTTATTCAGACTGCACATTCTAAGAGACAGTTTTGTTTATGCCTTTTTATGGTGTTGCATAGTTTTTAACTGAATCCAGCCAAGGATGAGGTAACACTTGAACAAGATTTTCTTATATTTCTTGAATGAAAAATGTTTCAATGTCACAGTAACAGTCTAAATCTGTCATTCACCTTCACTTGCATGCGCACACAGTTGTCACTGCTGAAGTTTCTCCTGTAAATGGTGAACATCTTGTTCATAACACTGTAGTTACAGCTTGACAACTTTAGTTGGGCTATAGTAGAGCTAAAAGCTTCCATACTTCCCATAATGCATAGGCTTGTCCTTCTATTTGATTACATGAGAGTACATATGTTAGCACAGTGCCATCAAAGGTAATAACCAACTTCGTTAGTGTGTCAAACCTTTCTTACTACTACAAACTATGGCTACAAAATCCCTGTGGATAATAATAATAGGGAACTAGTCAAAACCCAGCATACAAATGGATAAAAAAAGTCCCATTTCTATGACTTAGCTTCAGAAATTTCCCCTACAATTTAGAAGAAATTATTGAATTCTTGGTGAAGAAATTACTTAGGCACTCAGTCAAGGTGTGTTTGATCACAGAAATAGGCTAAGCACTTCCGAAGAAGCTGTGGGAAAGACAACCTCTTTCAAGTCTGTGTTCACTGGTCTTCTGATGGAGCTTGAGATTCCTCTTTTGGAGGAAAAGCAACAAACTCTTTCATTTCAGTGTCTTGCTCAGTGGCAGCATGAGTACTAGCTTCATAAGGCTCACATGGGCAACAGCTGACTTCTCCTTTCCTGCTCTTCTGCAGAATGGTGGTGTGAAAGTCTAATGAGATTACTGCCAAGCGATACAATTGTAGAGTCACAACTAATATATTCTTAGCTGTAAAAAACACCAGCATCTGATTGAATATTCCAAAGTGGCCCATCAGGATTGAACGCACAATGAAGAAGGGACCATCCTGTATGAAAAGGCTGACCCCGATGTTCCAAAGTTCAGCGCTGTACCTGCACAGCAGCAGGCTGGGGATCTGCCTAGTTGACTTTGGTTTGCAGCCAATATGCTGTACTGGAAATAAAACACAGTTATGTTACAATAACTCTCTAAAATTGTGCTAGGATTGGTGTAAAGGATAGTTATAATCCAGGGTGCCCCTGGATTATAAATGCATTCAACTGTAGACAATTCAGCATAAAGCACATCCTGCTTCTGGGTTCTGTTTCAGCAAAACACGCTAAAATCACTGTAAGCAGACACTTAGGTGGTCCTGGTGAACAGGACTGAAAACCACTTCCCCTTTTCTAACCCACAAAACTATCAGTATTTATACACTTTTAAAACAAGAAGCATAAGTAGATCATCTAATCTTTCTGTAACAACTTCCCCAGACACTCTCTGTTAAATCAACATGCTAGGCTAATATTTATCTTTAAGAAAAAAACCTACCGTGCTGAATGAGATCAGCCTGAGCTGTAGCACTTCAACTTGTTCCAGACTGTCTAAGACCTTGCTTTTAGAGTCACCAGATAGCCTTTGGCTTTTTTCATGTGTTATAGTAAGAATAAGTCATGTCAGTGCGGGGCGATATCAAGCATTATGGATAGGAAGAAACTGTGGTTGCTGCTTGCCCTCTTAAGACTTGAGCCACAGTTACTTATTCTCAGCCTTCTGGGTATGAAATTGCAGAGAACCATTAGAACTTGCATGGATGTGTCCCCCTTGGCTAAAAAAGTGGTGGTGGGCTAGAATGCTCTTTGTGATGTGGTGTCCTGAGAAAGATCATCAGAAGGGTTTGTGTGTGGTAAATATAGCTGCTTCTTATGAAAATGCAGGTAGCTTAACTAACCTCTTTCTCGGGCAGTGGGATTTCATCAGTTTAAAAAACGTAACTACTTGCTATGCAGTAATGCCAAACATTTTAGCTTACCAAAATAATTCTATTGTTTGAGGCAACACTAGGGGAAAAAAAAATATACTTGAGTGGAAAATGAGTTGTAGAATGTAGAAATTTACTGGATCCATTAGGCAAAGCTTCATCAGCAGCTAATTTTTTAATGTGTTTGTGCCATTACTGTTTAATAGTCCTAACTGCGTCACTGTAGTCCAATAATAAGTGCCTATAAATTTTTATTTTAAGTCATGTTTGATGTGTGAGTAAACATACTGATCCTTGAATAAAAAGTACTATCTACCTGTAATAAACTGTACCCATAGTAAATTTTAGAGCAATGTGTGTACAGTAACTCCATTTCAAACTGATAAATGTAATTAAATATGCAGAAAAGTGATAGCCAGAGATAAAATGCACAGTACAACAGGTTACTTCACTTAAATCCAAACAGTGCTTAAACAATCATAGCATTCAATAATTTGGGTAGCAATGATGTGTATAGGTGGTTCATTTTATGAGGGGTTTGTTTTGGTTTGTTGTTTTTATTTTTTTGTTTTTTTAAACCTGAGTGTTGTGCATCTTTAGCAGAATATATTTTACCAGTAATGGGAATTTTAGCTGTGATAAATCTGAAAGCTGGTGGCATCAGCTTTTTCAGGAGGTGAGCTGCTGAGCTGAAATGCTGAAATATTTGCACAACTTCAGTGTTGAAGACAAAGCCTAGTGCTGTCCCTGAAGAAAAGGCCAATGAAAAATCCCTGGAATAATTTTTCATTTTTATTCATTTATTATTTTAGTCAGTGTGTCAACCAGTCATCAGTTTTATATAAGATGCTAGTGAGAATAACATATCCTTGGACTGGTATAGTTGAGTTGCAAACTTGTAGTGATTGGAGGCCAAAACGGTTGGAACAGACGAGACGATTGAGGTGGCTTTCATCATTCTTCTTGGACATAGAGAAGCACTTTCTGCCTAGGGACAAATACCAGCCCGAGCTGGCTGAACATTGGGCCTTTTAGCTTAAGACAAGGGTGCAAAGTCCCAACATTATACGATCCTTTAGGTTCCCTGTGAATAGGTAATTTCTCCTGTAATAACTGCTTCTGTGCTCTTGGTTGTGCTGTCCCCTGTGATTAATGACAGCCTGTCTCTCCATAGGGTCTATTAACCTACCCAGGTTGGAACCGTAATATACTCCAAGACCAGATCAAACTGGAGAGCACACATAGTGAAGTTTAAGGCAGCAACAGGCAACTGGACTAGAAGCTCCAATACAATATTGCAGTTCCTTTTTTTTTTTTTTTTCTGGAAGTAGAGAGTTTTACCAGGGAGATCAAAGGTTGGCCAGAAACAAGTGTTTCCTCAAAAGAAACCACAATGGGCTTTCTTCAAAACACATTGTCACATTAATTGCTCTGCACCAGAAGCCTTTGAGGTAGTCTGTAAGGTGCTCACAGCCATGAGACCTGCCAGCAAAAACTTAAAGCATTTGTTCTCTTTTCTTGTCTATGTGCAAGTACTAACCTGCAAGATCAAGTGGAAACTGTAACATACTCCAGGTCCATACAGCAAGAATTGCATTTATGAGAGCATAATTCTTCCTGTGGGAGTGGAAAAAAAGTGATAACAGTGAAGATGCGGTTTCCTTACGTGATAACAAAAATGTTTCCTGTAGTATTTGGAATGTCATTTAAAGGCTGATTGAGTAAAACGGTGGTTGATTAATGCATGCTCTTGAGATGTAAGACTAAGGAAAAAAGAGGCACCTTTTGGAGCAGATTTTTTGCTGTTCAGGCCACAAGTTCCAGCTGTGTAATTACACTAAATATCTGATGCTAACCTTATAATGATAAGCATATGGCAATAGACTCTGTGGCTCAGAGATATCTTTACTCTTGTAGTAGTTTCACATTCCTTGCAAGCCTGACTGCCAAGTGGGAAGGATCTTTTTTCTGCTGCAAAATCTTTTCTTTGTTATTTAAAAAAATAAAGTATGTCTGTAAGAGAAGATGAACCTCTGAACCTGTGATTCTTTGTCGTTATGATGGATGCTCACACTCATCTCTCAGTGCTGTGAGGAGGAGATGTGCTTACTTTCTCTTGGAGAGATCACAGTGTTGAAAATTTGCACCAGGATGTGCCATTCCCTTTCTTCTTATCTTTGAACACTGTCATTTTTATCATGAAGAAAGTACATATGAGATAACCAAAGAAGCAACTTGGATAATTAATCACTTAAGCAAATTAGTTGCTTGCTTGATAGTCTAAACCAAGTCATTAACCTGAAAGAGGCCTCCTATGTATCCAGTGTTTCAGCTCCTGTAGCTGTAAGAACTGACACTGCATGGTAGTTTTGCTAGTTGTTTGGCTCTTTGTAACCTTTTATTGTTACAGGTGCAACATGCTTCTCTGCTGGCATGATGAGTAATCCCTAACAAAGCTCATAGGACTGTTAGGTCTTTTACAGAGGGAAAGGTGAGAGTAGGAAAACAGAGCCCTTGAATGTAGCCTTCTGTTATCTGTAGAAATGCAGCTCCATTAGTCTGAACAGCACAGATTGCACAAATCTTCAAACAAAACGAGTATCTTGCACTAGGCAAATTATTTATGCCAGCAAATGGTCCTTACCGAACATCTTCAATGTCCAAGGTTTCACTAGCAAATTCAAGTATATCTGCTGCTGTCCCCACAAACATGAGAAGCAGCTGAGACAATTGATCCCGTGTGATTTCAACTCCAATGGGGAGAAGCCATCTCCCAACTACTAGCAGCAGTAGAAAAGTCTGGTGGAGGGCCAGTGTCCATACAGTCTCGCAGATTCTGGAAAGCTGATTCACAAAGACTTTAGCCTGTTTAAAAGACAACAACAACATACCATAACTTCAAGAGACTGACATTATAGGTACCTTCAGAGATTGTATTCATTCTTGAGCCAGCGTTTATTCTCCTTCACGTCGTATTAGAGCAAATAATTTCTATCTGGCAGGCATAATTTGAAAAAGGTACACTAATACAAACTGGATGATGAATAGCAAGTCTTTCTCTGTGTACTACTCCTTGTGTTCTCATTTTTCCACTGAGCGTTATCCTTTGCAGAACCATCACCCAGAGGCTTTCTAAATTCAGTTACTGAGATTTGTAAGAGAATGGTAGGAGAGTCTCCTCTTCACACAGACTTTTCCTACCAACAATAGTTAGTATGCAGCACAATGTAGGCCACTTTCACAATGTGGTTTTCTAAAACAATTCTTTAATTTTCTTTTTTAGTTTTAATAGCTGTGTGAGGAGCTTGCCCAAATAGACAAAACAGTCCTCTCTAATATCATAAGATCTCTACGAGGAATAGGAAAAGGTGTCCCACCGTCTGAATGATGTGGTGATCAGTTCCCTCACTTCCATAACTGCTGTCTCTGGATTGATTGAAGTCTTCGTTGCTGATATTCACCTGAACTGCTCCAGGCTCATTACCACAGTACTGTTGTGAACAAAAACATCAGACATGTATAAACATCCCATACAGGGAGCAGATGCCTTCTGTGGCTCGGAGTCCTGTTTTGCTGAACTGCAGAGGGTTCATTTGTGAAAGTCAGTTAATGTTTACAAAGGTACGTGCTCACTCTGAATGAAATTCCCCTCTTGTTCAGAAGGGAGGAATTTTTCTCGTGAGAAGTGATGTGTCGGTAGGTCCCTGAGAAAGTGTAGGATTGTACTGTAGAAAAGGCTGTAAATTCAAAGGTTGATGGAGCGGGTGACACCTTTGTGCTCTCAAGACCACACTCGTTGCATGTGATCTGCCTGTAGCTCTCCTGAACAGGCTGATGGGTTTCCTATATAGTCTCTCTCTGGCTGAAACAGTAAAATAGCGTAAAAATTGGTCATGGTCAGTCTGTTGTTTTATATTCACAGTCAGTCTCTAAACTCAACCTTTTCCTCCAAATACTTTCTCATCTCTACTATCAAGAAACTGTTCTCTAAAAATGCCATTGTTTCATTTTTCTGTAAGACTTCCCTCAAGGCTGAAATGAATAGTTGGTGCAGGTGGATTGTGTTCTCTGCCCCTCTAGCTGTGCCTTATTCTGCAAGGAAATTGATAATATGAGAGGTGAGATTCAGGAATTAAGAAAAATGGGCCTGTACTGTTGCCTGCCCCTGCAGAGTAGAAAAACAGGTATTTTTACTCTTCAAGTACCCAGTGCTCTTGGCTGAAGCATACCGTAGGAAACAGTGGTGGGACTGTGTCCCATCTGAGGTCTGCAGCTCTGTGCTGCCCTCCTACCTTCATCCCCAAAGCTGGCGCTGGAGCAACTGGGGTATGGTTCTAAAATCTATATTCATAACAATCCCTTAACATCTCTTTTCATTGTAACAAAAAAAAATGGATAATTAGAAAATCAAACTATGTTGTTACTAGAGAATTTTATCTTGTCCTATTTGTGCCAGAGAACACCAGACGATTTGCATTTCTCCACTGGGCCCCCCACCATTTTATTTCACGGGGAATCCTTTTCTGTAACAATTGGAATGTGATCTAGTGCATACTGAGTAGCTGTGATCAGTGTAATGCTTGCCAATACAAAGGCAAAATTTTCCAGCAAATGTCACATTCTAGTAAATTTCAGACTCCATTTTGATACTTTGCTTGTTCTCTGGTAATGTTGCTCAGTATCTGGACAAATGCTGCCTGTTGCCTGACCTTGTCATAGATAAATGGAGGAACTTCCTGTGGCCTGAAAAATCTGGAAAACAAGTCAGTGCTTGTTGTTTTTATGATTGGTGGTAAAGGTTCTTAAACTGAATGCTTGCCATATTTGGACAGTGGGTGTGAGAGTGTTGAAAGATTGACCCGCAGATTTGAGGAACAGGTTATCTCCACTTGGAGGAGGGAAATCTGAAGTTCTAGGCATGGAGACAGTGAGATGGAGGAGCTGGTGCTCTGCTGGCTGCAGCCGTGTGGGGCTGATCTCCCTGGGTTAGCCCTTTAGCCAACAGAAAGAGACAGAATAGCTTGTTCAGCTAATGTTTCAGAAATGAAATTTAACTGGTGCTCTGGAGAAGCCTTTGTATCTGTTGATTGTAGAAAAAGTCGAAAGCCTATGGAGACCATCCCTCAAGGTCAAAGTCAATCTTTCTGAGTAACCCAGCCACTGTGGCTGAGAGAGGTTATGTCGGCTGAGGAGACCATGACTTAAAAATGCTGCATGACTGGGGTAGCCGCCCCAGAATATTAAGGAGTATCTACCTTGTAACAAGTAGCCTGGGTAGGGCAAAGGGATTACTAACTTGTGCCGGAGGATAAAGGCATCTTTTGGGTTGTCATTAAATCTGTATTTGAGCCTGCTCCTTTGCCTCCTTGCCTGGTCTGGCATCAGTAAGAGGAATGGAGTCATGAACTTGCATTAAACTTCACATCAGAGTTTGGGAATTTTTTGTTTGTTTTTTAAAGCCCCGTTGCTCAGAGAGGAATTTGCAGAATTGGAGGCAGGACCTGTGTAGGGCAGCCTGTTGCGTTTGCTTTATGTGTAAGGAGCGTGTAAACCCCTTCCCAGACACTGTGAGGACTGCCCACAAATAAATTAGGTGGCTGAAGGACAGGCATGACATGGGAGGTAGCAAGGTGTATAGGTGCCTCTCGGCAGATGCCTTGTCTCTCCCCCTGCCAGTAGTACAGAGCAGATAGCTCTCACGGCTCCAGAGTGGCTGCACCCCTTAACCTGCACACGGGGCAGAGGAGCTATGGGGCAGAGGAGCTATGGGGCAGAGGAGCTGCGGGAGTCAGCAACTCTCACAGCTGCAGGGAGGTGGAGGAAAGCAGAAAGCATGCCAGGGTTTCCATGTGGCTTGCAACAGGGATCTTTTTTTCTAGTGACATAAAGGTACAGAGAATACATCTTTAAGGAAATTAATTCACTTTATCAGTGTCTTTTGTAGGTTTGCAAGTACTCCCAGTTGAGTGAGGGGTTACTACTTCAGTGCAAGGCTCCACGAACTCTGACTGAATGGCACTCCTCAGGGCCGGGTCCGTACCTCTTCTCGGTTGCATGCAGCAGGAAATGGAAAACTGCATCTTTGAAGCCAGTCACTGAAGTAGATTCCTGGTTTTTAATTTAAGTATGTTCATATCTTGGTTTGGTTTGTTTCTCTCTGAACATTTATTAAGTGGTGATTGTGGTGGTGACTCACTTGAAAGTTTGAAGAAGAGCCTTTATTTTTATCATGTATATGCATTTAAATAGGACGGTTTTTGGAGGCTTATTTGCCTAGCCAATTATGTATGTGCAGTGACTTAATGGGAATTTGACACAGATAAAGTGAATACTAAGTTTCACAGGCAGTCGATAAACATGGTTTACCTCTTTAATGCTAGAGCCCAGTTACTTCTAAGTATTAAGACTGCATAGCTAAACAAAAATGCTCTCTTTTTTTTTTTTACTGTGCAAAAACAGAACAGGAAGAAATTGTATACATTCTGCATAAATTCTGTCTTTATTTTTTTCTTCTGAGAGGAAGCTTACATTCCTCTGATTTATAAAATGTAATTAATACAGAAACTGTGTTGCATGACATGGTGCTGTATGGCCTGCAGAGAGCTCACTGTCAGGGCAGGGGGAACTCCTGAAACACTGAACTGATTCAACGAACTTTCTGTTTGCATGTGATTCACAATCCATTATTCCCAAATAAAAATGAGGTTAGTTAAAACTTTTTGCAAGGGGTGCAGCATTAAGATGGTAAAATTGACACTTGAAAATTGGCACTTGAATACCAAGGCAGGACACCCTCAACCCTGTTGATGTGCATGGAGGCTTGCAGCCTGAGTAGGTTGTGGAAGAGGCTAGCCCTTCCCTGGAGCAGGCCCTCTGCCAAGCAACAGGTACCCCATTTGCTCTCCCCAGTTCCAGCCTTTCTTGCTGGAAACAGTGTTCTGTACCTATAGCAACATGTGTGATGTCAGAAATTCAAAACAACTATGACAGCTTCGTTTTGCTCATGCAGGAAAACCAAAACGTAAAACAGGGAGAAAAGATTTCTTAAGCTGTTTTCCAAATTGAGGAAGATAATCGGTATGGGAGGGAAGAGATGGTGAAACATGTAAGATCCCTTTTAGAAAAGTGATATATTGGATTTTTATCTGGTAAGAGAATCCTACCTCAGAATAAGGCTGACAGAATGGGCACTCATATTGACTATTTCCTTGAAATGTTCAAGTTAAGGTGGTTAAAAATAATTACAAGGTTTACCAATTATCTATCTTATTACTGACTGGGAAGCCTACATCAACTACAACACTGGTAGGCAGGTAAGCCCTGCAAAAGGTGTTCAGTTATTGCTTCCTGTAGCAGCGATGCACCAAGCATTTGAAAAGGTAACAGAAGTATTCGTTCATCTGAGATCTTACACATTATGAAGAAAGAATGCTAGGGTTTTTCATGCATTAAATGGTTTTGATTTTCTTGCTATTCTATTTTGGAGACAGCAACTTTTTCACTCAGTATAGTTCAATTTACATCTCTCCCAAACATGTTGTTCATCCCAAAATACTTTACCCCAAAGCAATATTTTCTATGCAGTCAGAATTTCACTGTTGATGTATGGATGGTATTCATGTCTAGTCCTGCAGTACTTGGGCAGAATTGCCTCTGTCTTCAAGAGGAGATACTGCCTATTAGAGCATGCCTTAACAGCACTGACACAAGCAGCTGATGTTTCCTGTTAGAGATTCAATGTGAGATCAAAGTTCTGCTGCCTTAAAGACCACAAACAGTTTTCATGGTGTATATATTAAATGTGTGGATCTAGCAACTGCGTAATTACCCATTCTGTTAGTATCTTAATAAGGAAAATCCCAGCAATCACTTAGTATGAGAAGTATTCCTGGTCTGGGTGCTGTGTTTGAGATTGTTAGGATGGGTTGCTCCTCTTCTGGAGGTATTGTTTTTGAAGCTATTAGATTGTGTTTCCAGAACACTCTATCCTATCTCTCCAGGTATAAACTAAGCTGTTAACTTGATATACTCCCTCTTTAATTCACAGTAGCACTATATCAATAAGAACAAAGTATGCCATGTTCTAGCATCATTTTGGGAAATAAACTGCTGCCTTTGACTACAGAATTAGCCTGTTTCTTGGACTACATTTAACTATGACAAATCTTCTCAATATCCACATTACCTGTCAGTGTCTGTTTAAGGAGATTTGGCAAAACAAGAAGATTTCCTGCTGCTCTATTTAAAAAAAGCCTCAGGCATTTTCAGTGTAAACACAATTTTGAATATTTGATTATGCTTCTGTGGGCTCTAACAATGTTTCAAAGGAGAAAATGAAGCACTATGTCTTCTTAGTCTAATTTATGTATTTTCTTCTGTTGCTTTTTGTTCTTGTTCCTGTCAGGCCCTTTTCTGCTGTGGATATAAGGTACTGTATATGTGCAAATGCTGGGGACAGACAAAATCCCCTTTTTACTACATGGAAGTGCTAGAGGGACTTGAAAGCAGCCTGCACAGGGAAGTGCTTCACTCAGCATGGGCTGCTGGGCTGGCTCTGTCCTGGCCCTGACTCCATCAGCCAGAACAGTTGCCTTTAAAAATTTTACTGTGTGTTTTAGTCCTGAATTGGAATCCAGACGCCCCCTTCCCAGATTACTATATAGCATGAACAAAGAAAGGATATAAACACTGACAGATGAGTTACCATGTCACCTATCTGTGGTAGCAATCCGTCAGTATTCTCCTAGGTTGCAGCATACACGAGGTAATTTGAGTTTAAGACCCCTTTCTCTGACACTTGTCTCAATTTTGTCTTGCTTGAAGTTGTGATATCTGCCTGTAAGTGCTGTGAAACCCATACTTTGTTTTACAATGGCCTCTGAAGCAATTAAATTCTTTCATCGTCCTGAGCAAGATTCGAGCTGGTAAGCTGGGGGTGAAAGGCTGTTCTTCAAGCTTCTAGTCCTCGGTTACCCACCCAAATACAAATAAATAGTCTTATTTCCAGCTAGGAATGGAGTTCATTATTTGATATTTAGGCAATGCACAGTAGTCATAGTATAGCTGTAGCTGGCTTGGGAGACCTACCAGTATAAGACAGAAAATCGGAACAAGACCTGGCAAACTTCTGTGCATGCCCAAATCCAACCCATCAAATAATGCATCAATTTCAAACTAGTCCATCTTGTCCCATAATAAATACCTGAGTCCCATGATGAATTTCAAGTAGCCATAGTGATGGTACTGTGCAAATCAGATATAAAAATATTGCTGGTGAAAACCTGTGAATGAAAAGAAAATATAGCTTGGTATCATATCGCATCATAAATACCACATAGCCTATCATTATCTGTATTGAAAAGTATCTTGTGCCTCCTCCCATATAGGATATTAAGAAATAGGGTAGCTGCAAATAAGAGTTGCCATTCTTGATGAATTCCTCCTGTTGTCAATATTATGAATCATACATTTTTGTACATCCATCCAAGTTCATATATGGAAGTTTATTGAAAATATCTTTTTAAGAGCTAACCAAAGGTACTTAGCTGTTTGTATTTTCACCACAGCATTCTCTGTACTTAATTTTTCTTTTAAAGCCTCTAGCTAACATGTTCTTTCTGATTTCATGAAGAGTGAATTAATACACTGGGTCATTTCACTGAATGCAGTGGGATAAAAGCTGTTGATCAGAATCCTGTGCACTGATGCAGGAAAGGTAGAAATAGCATCAGTTTGCCTAAAGCAAGCATTTCTTCAGTAGGAGGCCTTTCAGTGCAGGCTAAGATGGTTTGTGAAAATGGGTCTTGGTCTTGTTTCCCCATTTGTGTTGGCAACTGTATAATTTTTTAGGATTTCTGTCTCTAGTTCTTCTCTCCCTGTCAGTCTTCTATATAACTTATGATGGTGAAGCTCTATCATCTTCATCTTCTTGAGCTGACTTTATTCAGAAGTATTAGAGAGGCTTTGTTACTCCTTCTACAAGAACTGATTCTTGTGAAGGTTGCTGATGTTTTCTTATTAAACTTGTGACAGTTTTGGGGTGGGTTTTTTTGGCAATTCATATCCATTTGGAGTATGAATGAGGTCTGATGCCACTAATGTTCCATCTAGCTCTGCCATAGTATGGAGTGAGCATCACTGTAAAGCTGCTGAGATGCACAGCAACCTTTGCATCACAGATACGTACTGGCCCAGGACAGGGCCGTGGAGTCAAACTAAGGATAATTAGAATCATAGAATGGTTTGGGTTGGAAGGGACCTTAAAGATCATCAAGTTCCAACCCCCCTGCCGTGGGCAGGGACACCTTCAGCTAGATCAGGTTGCTCAAAGCCATTCCTTACTTGCTTGACTCCTTCTGTCCTGTCATTGGCATGTTCTGAAGTGAACTTGAATTGCTTATAAGTACGTAATGCAGCAATGTTTTGGTCAAATGTTGTTTCATTTATTGTTTGCTTCTATCCTGAATGTACCTGTGTCGTGACTTTTCCGATGGAGATTAAGTATTGAGGAAAAGGGAAGACCCTGCTGCTCAGTAAAATGACTGGGTTGCTGAGATGTTAAGAAATGTTTCAGTCACCTCTAAATAATATCATCCTGGGTTTGGTGGGGGTTTGTCTATTTTGCAGGGGTGAGGGGGCAGTGGTGCTTGTTTTGATGGTGGGGTTTTTTGTTGTTTACTTTTTGGGGAAAAAAAAAATTTAGTATTTCTGTGGGGTTTTAGCCTGGATGTTTTTGGAGAGAGCACACCTCTCATTTGAATGGGAGAACTAACATATTTTACAGTATTTCCTGTAGGACTTAAGCACATGAGAAATCCATCCAGCTGGCAGGTTAGCAATACTGAGCTAATGATACCAGATCAGGCCAGGAGACTTCAGGGGCTTTAACCCTCTCTTTCTTTCAGAAGGAGCAATCTGGAGGAAATATTACATGGCCAGGCCCACAATAATACTTTTTTTAATCTACATCTGCCATTTAATTTTTTTGTGCTGGTGTAATAAGTAAGTCTTCTGTCAACAAGGGATAGAAGACAATATGAAGCTCTTGGAGGCAGAAGCGTCCTGCATCACAGACTGCCTGTTGCCTGGATCAGCAATTGTCTATAAGTCGTTTCTATAAATGCAGGTGATACTGCTTGTTCTGAGTGAGTGTTTTCCACCAGAGCAGAATAGTTATCACAATACAGATAGGTGTGGTCATTTATCTTCAGTTCTTACCTATAAACTTACTATACAGTGCTGCTTAAATTGCTGGGACCACAGCCATTTTCAAAATTTCCTTCTAGCTAAATTGAGCCTGGTCTTCTAGCACATATATTAATCTAAGATGGATCTGCTTTCTAATATCTATTTTCTTTGGATTTTCCAAAAGCTGCCACAGTAAGTGTTCCTTCATGAAGACTCTGATGCCGCCTCTTCTCCCCAGTGCACTGGCTGCTCACTCTGCTTATCTCTCATAACTGTGCATTTGGAGCTCTGCTGTTGTTAAATTTGCTGCATCCCAGACTTTATCACTGCTTTTATTACATTCAAATTTAGAACATGGAACTCTTGTGTGAATTGTCACACAACCCTGCTTCTGTTTACAATGAGTTTCACAGGCTGCCATGGGCAGGAATTTAAGATCACTGAAATACTCTAGGGCTTTTTTTTTTTTTTTTTTTTTTTGTTCTGGATTTGTCTCAGGGCCTGCTTGAAGTTTCAGTTTTTAAAAATAAGAGGTTCTAGTGAAATCTCAACAATTAGTTACCCGACCACTTCCTTTTTACAGAGCATTTGTTTTGGCTGACTGAGCACTGATGAGCTGTAGATGACTGCAGTAACTCTTCAGATGCATGTAAAAACCCATGTGCTTGGACAAACTCTGCTATGACTAACTTTCTTGCTCATTTCTCAGGCAGTCTTTCATGCATGAAAGCTCCCCTCTGAAATAGCCTCTCAAATTCAAATCCAAATATTTAATCTACTCTTGCTGTGCTGCAGGAGTGGTTGCTGCTCATCTTCTATTTGTCACAGAGCTTTAGTTCATTCACGAGCTTAGCATTAGCGCTGTTGCGAGTAGCAGGGGCAGGGAATGCAGCCCCAGGGAAGGAGGTGCAAACCAAAACATGGCAGGATGGGGTAAGAGATACAGGGCATCACTTGGAATAGCCTGGCTGGGCCCCCCAGCACCCTTCTGCACCTCACACAGGTAGTCCCTGACACGTTGCTGCTTAGGAGGCGTCCAGCGACACTTGTAGGCAGTGCGTGCCCCCTGCTTTCCCAGCCCACTGGATCAGCAGCTCTAGAGCATGCAACTCTTGCCTGCAGCTACATTTCCCACACTTTTCGGCTGTTAGTACGGACACACACAGATGTAACTGTACAGAGAGTGGCTCCCAAAGAGCCTGCTGCACAACTTCCCCTCCAGAAAGCCCTCTGGACTTGGCACTGGAGCAGCCAGGGCTCTACCAGTTTTCCACCCCCCACCTCCCAGGTGCAGCAGGGGAGAAAAGGCAATAAACCCCTGAAAGCCTGGCAGCAGCCAAGCCGGGGAAGCACTGCTCTCAGGCAGCAGCCACAGAAGGCAGCCTTGCATCTGCGGCAAAGTACATGCAAAGAAGCAAGAGGGGCTCTGCCGGAGCCGGCAGGGTATGCTCACCATTTGTAGCCTCTGCCTTGCTTAAACTTGAGGGTGAGCCCTGTCTCGAGGCACAGGAGGAGATTGAGCAGTGCCAGCAGCCAGTACTTTGGTTCTTTCTTCACCGCAGTCACTCTCCAGACCCCGATGAGAGAGTGCAACACAAAGAGCAGGCGAGTAACCAGAGCATTGAACAGCACCATCAGCTCCATGCTGGACCAGTCCCCCTGCCCTTTTCCCCGCACTGCAGGGGCCCAGCGCTTTTCAGGAGTCCTGGGAAGTTTCCCTGGGAATCCCTAAGAAGCCTGCGCACCACAGGCACACAGATCTCTTCTCCTCTCCCATCTCCACAAAGGGGCCCATTATAACAAAAAAGAAACAGCATCGCCCCTCCTCCAGACTTCCTGAAAACTTTTTAAAGGGAAGAAAAAAAAAAAGCTCATGCTTCCAGGCTGCAGTGGTTTGTAGTCCTCGGTACAACTCTGACCATGCTCAGACAGGGGTGTAAAGGGTTTCTTTCTGTCCCCTCTCTATTATCTGCTCAAGGACTAATCAGCAGGGAGGTTTCAGTCTCCAACGGTTACCATCTCTCTGCTAGCCCCACTTGCTGCTCTCATCTTGTAGATTTCTAGCAGAGACAAAATGTTAGCAGCAGTATTAATTTGACTCTTCTTTGCTAAAAGCTCCACTGCATTACTGAGACTGCAAAATCCTCTTTCCTCAGCCCTCCCCCTGAAAGATATAATTCAAGTCTGGGAGCTTTTAAAATTGTTCATTTAACATTGCAATACTGAAAACAAAAACTGTGTACTCAGTTCAATATTACAATCCCTGTGTGTAAGAGGGTTACAAAGCAGCAGAAGTTAGAGCAGCTAACCAGTACTGAAATTTAGTCAAACTACTATACTGAATAATCTACACCCTGCTTCAGGACTAAAGCAGCTCCAACGAGGAACTTGGAAATCAGGCTGAAATCTGGGATAGCACTTATGTTACCAAATAGGTGAATAGGAACATATACAAAAAATACACTGAATTTTGACTGTTAGGTCGGTTACCTCTAGATAGACCTTTATGTTCTGTGAGGACAGTCTATAACATATGGAGTAAGTTTAAAAATTACTTTGACATTCACTATGTCACTTGTTACAGTGATTATAAATTTTATTTGAATTTACACTTAGGTAACCTGAAGAGAAATCTCTTCTTGATCAGAATTGTCATTGTGTTGCTCCAGTTTTGTGTTAATTTACTGCCAAAACACTGAAATTGAGATACACCATCATAAAATACAAATGGAGAATCTGTTCCATGTAACCTATGGTGGTGCTCCAAAGGTCCTAACTTCCTAGCTGATTTAATTTTAAATATCCTGTTCTACTTTAAACACAAGGAAATATTCTAAGGGTTGTGACCTTCGAAAGACGATTTTTTTCTCAATTGCTATGATCGAAGTTTTCGTCACTGCAAAACCAACCTTTTCTCTATGAACTGCTGAAGCTGGTGCTGACCAGCTGATATCCTTGGGGGTGGGGGGGAGATGGATACTTAAAAACAACCCTGCCCAGAAAAAAAAAAAAAAAAGAGAAACAAAAGGCCATTCCACAGTAGAGATCACTCAGGAAATGCCTGAGTAAATAAATGGTCAGTGCAGTGTGCCTTTTTGAAGCAGCAAAATTGAGTTCCTCATGCTCAGAGGAAAATTAATTCAAGTTAAGGGCCTACTACTGATAATCCCCTGCCAACAGCCACCCTGCCATATCGTGTCCTGAGTGCTGTTGGTTCACAGCCCTTCCGCTGGTATTAAGGTCAAACCTTATTGAACAGGAAACAGTGAACAGACAGAATTGAAAAATTGTTTAAACAAGATACTCTTCTGTGGGAGTGCTTGATCTGTAAGAAATGACATGGGGGAACTGGTATGTTCATGGAGATCCTAACAGCACAGATGTCATAAACTTGTAAAGATGATGGTCAGTAGGACTTTCCCGTGATACTGTGTATTCAGGAAGGATGCAGTGAGCTTTGCTCATGGCTAGCAATCCTTATATTAAAGACACTTTGGAGCTGAGCTGCTTAACAAGGTAATCTCGCCAGTGAACAATCCAGACTTCATATTGGTGGAAGTCCCAAACTTAAATAGGAAGAACATATAATACTGACTCTGCCTAGCTGACCAGTGCACCATGATGGCAACGCAACAGGCTGAATAGAGGGAGGAAGTGAGTAGGTATGGATGACTTCAGTTATTCAGTCTAGAAGAGGCAAAACGTACATCCAGACTTGACAGAGCACATTTTTAGATGTCTCAACAGTTGTTTTGTGGAGCAGCTGGTTCAGGAGCCCATACGGGCAATGCTTGAGTCTAATCCTGAGTGGTTTACAGGATATAATGTAGAGAGTAACAGCTGAAGAGCTCCCCTGAAATGGGGATCTTATGGGCACCTTGCAGGTCTAAAACAGTCAGAGGTCTCTACCATTGCTGTGCTCAGCTTCAAAAAGGAAAACTAGATGGAGATGAGGAAGCTTGTTGGAAGTGAGACAGAAGGGGGAGCTAACTCTTTGCAGGGAGTATGGATATTGCTTCCATGACTCACATGGGAAATGCAGAGAAAACAGCTGTGTATCAAGAAAAATTTGAGAAAGCATGAAAAGAAGCCAGCATTGGCAGGGTGAGATTGCAGGACCAAGAAGGCATCCTTCAAAAAGCTGAAGTGGTGTCCAGATGAAGAAAACTGAAAAGATTATAAACTCTGTCAAGTTAAATACATAAACACGATAAAGCTGGCTGAAGGAGTGCAAGGGACAATTGGAAAAAGCATAATAAAAAATGTTATCTGTTCAAACGCATCCTGAACAGGAAGTCTGCCAGGGAATTGTTGGGTCAGTGCCCTCAGGGTGATAAGACTGTTCAGGAGGAGCTGATGAAGTCTTTGGAGTCCCAGCATGAGTACAGATGTACACTGTAGCATGGGATAGCACTGGTGCCTGCACAAAAGCTTACAGAATTAGTGGGTTTTTTTCCTTATGACACTGTACCTACTAGCTATGTTCTTTTCATAGTTGCTGCAACTTAGTTGTCAGGCTAATTGATCACAGGCTAGGGAGTACTTGGGGGAGAAACTTTGTCTTTACCTTGTTCTTCTACTCTTTCTCTGAGCATGGAGTTAGGTCTACTGTTGGTGGCAGAGAGTGGAACAGGTGGACCTTTGCTCTGACCTGAAATGGCACACTGGTAGAGACTTTCTAGTCTCTCGAGAAATTGACCTGGAGTGAGAGCAGAGTGGTTTACGCCCATGGTAGGTTTTTAGTGTTGGTTGGATACAAGCTCAAAGCAAGACTCATGTCTGTATGGAGTGCTCTACTAATGATATGGCCTCTCCCTCTTTCTGTCTGGAGACTTTGTCTATGTGCATGCTGAGAATTGTTTGTGCCTGGGAACCTTTGAGAGTTAGATGTTTCTAGATGAGTTGCTGTACTCTGGAAAATCCTGGACACAATGGTCCGAACATGTCATAGTGTGTGGGATTTTCATCCAAGACACCTTGGCAAGACCTGCTGCATGCCTTTTCCACATAGTAGCCAATTGCAGCATGTCTGATGCATTTGGGAAATGTCAAACCTTGCAGTGACCCAACACCAGTGACCTTCTGCAGAAATGGGAAACCCAGGACTTCAGAAAGCTGTGCCACAGAATCTTTGCACATGCCTTTGTCTAACTTCTGCTTTTAGGCCGAGTAACTATGCTGATTTCACTAAACAGACCCCATAACTCTCAGAAATTTGAAATCACACCAGTTCCCACAGAGAAACGGGTGGGAGATGGATCACCAGCTGAATGTAAGTCAGCAGTACCGTGCTGTTGTGAAACTGATGTCCGCATTAGCATGCAGACACAGAACTGAAATCTGCAGAGTGTCTGCTCTCCTCTGCTTGGGAAGGCCGTAGCCGAAGTACTGCCCTACTTTTGGCTGATGACGGGGAGTCCAGTGGAGAGGTGCAAGAGTGTTTCTATAGTAGGAAATTAATAAATTTTATAAATGAATGGTTGACTTTTAAATAGCAAAAGTGATATCCATATTAGGTTGTAGTGCTTATAGAATCAACAGATCCCTGTTCAAGCACCTGGAAGACTCTGGTTTAGATGGGTGTTCAGGGGCTGGAAATCTTGTGAGGAGGAATCCCAGTAGAAGTGTTCTGGGGGTTTGGTGATCATATGCAGAGTTTATTTTGAGGGGGAACTCTGAACAAAGGAGATTGTATCAGAATTTACTTCTTAATTGCTTACTTACAAACTGGAATGTTTTGGCAGTGAAATTTGGGGGTAGTGGCTGTTTGTCATCTTTAGTGCAGAGACTTTGAAGATTTGATTTACAATATTCATAAAGATATAATTACAGGGTATTAAGCAAGTAGCTGAAAGAGACCAGGGATGAGAATGGGTCGTAAATTCAATGCGAGTCAGCAATGTTTGTGCTATGAAGGAGACACACTGGGATGTATAAACAGACCTGTAACATGCCAGATTTGAACGATTGCTTCCACCTTCCTTGATGCTAGGGAAGACTTCAGCTAAACTACCCTAATTTGGGTGATGCATTTCCAAGAGAACTGACAGGATAGGGTGTCCAGAGGAAAATAAGAGCGCTGAGGTAAGAAAAAGGGGGTGCTGTGATTCAGTCTACAGAAGAGAAAACTGAACAGAGATGGAAGTGGCCAAGTGTTCAGGAAGTCACTGCAGAGAGGCTGGGAATGGCCAGTTTCCCAGTCCCAATCCATAGGGATGGAAGTGAAAGGCTTAAACAGCAAGAAATATTGCAATTATATGTCTGGAGACAGATCTTGCTAGGAAGAACAGCAAAGCAATGAAACAGATTGCACGGAGAGATGTTGAATCTCCATTGTTGCAGGCTTTTAAGCATAGATTAGGGAAACATCTGTCAGGAATGACAGCAATTTAGTTGATCACACTGTGGGGCAGAGGGCTGAGTAGAAGATCTCTAGAGGTTTCTCCAAGTCTTACCTCCTAGGGCTCTAAGGTTTATTTCTTTATTATCTGATCATTGTCTTGAGTCTCCAAGGAAGTTTCTTGCTTAAATTAAATCTGCTTAATTTCATTTCCAATAGGGTTCTTAAAGAGGAGGAAATTGTTCTGTTTTCTGAATGCTTGACTGTAAACTGTGAATGATTATGACAGCCTTATAAAGAGATCATGAATGGCAATTAACATACATGTTGAAATGAATGGGAATGATTCAGTTTTATATGTGAAACAAAAAAAATCTATCCAATTCTGGCGTAATGAAAGCCTGACTCTTGCTGATCAAATCCAAGAGGGGAAAGCCAAATCTTTCAC